AAACAATTCAATATATCTAAAGTTATTAATTTAACTGTAGTTATATTTTTTTAGACTAAAAAATAATCAAGAACTTGAAAGATAAAACCAATGGTTTAAAATTATAATAAATCTAATATAAAAAAAGATTTAATTATTTTTAAATACTAATTTCTTTCTGAAAAAAAATTCTTATTTACTATATCTGAAAATAAACTAATCGATATATGATATAAAATGGGTACATTTATTTGTGGTATTTGATGGTCTCTTCTATGGGAAATAAATCAACCAATATATGATATAAAATGAAAAAATTATTGTTGGTATTTGATGGATGTTTCTATGAAAAACGAATTAGTCAGTATATAGTATAAAGCGAGAAAATTTATTTTGATTATTTGACTGTTGTCTTTTTTTTTTTTTGTAGAAAATTTGCTATAAAAAATAATCAATATATGGTACTTTTTTTCTCTCAAATGCACACACAAATATATTGGTTTTCTGGTGTGGGTCTCATTTTTTATTTTATTATTTTGTATGAAATTACCATAGTGAAATTACCGTACATCCCACAAAATAATATGAACAAACATTTCGATATAATGTGCGTGTCTCGATTTTGTTTTTTATATAGAAAATGCTCTGTTCAATTTTTATTTGTACAATTAGTGAGTCTTGATTTAATTCATTTTTGTACACAGCAGCATGAGATTAATGGAATATGCAGCAGCTGGAGAAAGAAATCATCGACGAACATAAGAATTTAAAGCACAGAAAATAATGTAAGAACATGTTTCGCATTATTTGCATTAATATAATGTAATTTAATCGTCGGAGTTATGGCAATAGAATGCTTTGCATTAACCTATCACACATCTTCTTAATTCACAAAATAATTAAAATAGTTGTTTCCTTCACAGTAGGTGTAGAACTCAGAATAAATTGAGAGCTGAAATATACAGACAGTAAAAAAATAAAAATATAACTTAAATGAAAATATAACTTACTGCAATGTAAAAGTTAGAAATATACAGACAGTAGGTGTAGATTGTCATATGTATGTTTTGAATAACAAGCCTTTTTGATAAAGTTTGTACTGTAACATACAAATTCTAATATTCCAAATAATTTTATATGAATTAGAAAAAGTTGAATATTTAATGTTTTCTAAGGTTAATGTATTTTCCACTGATGGTTTCTTGCTCCATAACAATAAACAAGAGTCAAAGCCAATATTTATAGCATTATGATATGTTTTTAGAGACAACGATGTATGTCGCGGTCAGATGTATGTAGATATTTCATGCGTCACGAATCGTAAAAGTTTGAAGATTTTAAGTTGTGGTGTACAAAAATCAAATAAAGGTGTGTACTAGGAGGTGTTTAATAATATATAAATAACAATTTGTTTTATTCAAATACATGCATTTTACGTTCTGATCAATCATCCAATCTTACAAATCTAACTTTCCTTAATAATATTAGCCCGTGCATCGCACGAGTACGCACTAGTTAGTTATAATAATATTAAAATTTTGTATAAGAAACATTTTTTCATCTTCATTCCTTACCTATTATTTTTACTTAGCTACCTATCAGGGGCGGATTTAGGAGAAAAAAAATTTGGAAGGGCTAAAGGATTATTGGAACTGGATTTTGTTTGTTAAACTCGTGAAGTTTGATCTCATATAATTATATATTTATATGAGCCAAACGACTATTCAAATTTTCTTATTAAACAAATTGAGTAGAGATGCTTAAAAAATTGGAGTTTGAGCTCATTTTTTTATTTATCTATTCAATAGTCGAGCTAATCCGATTCATTTATTAAATTATCATAAGTTTAAACATTAGTTATTCAACACGAATAAAATTAATAAGCGCACACACATATTGGCATAAAACTGTAT